GTGTGTGTGTGTGTGTGTGTGTGTGTGTGTGTGTGTGTGTGTGTGTGTTTTCTGAAACAAATAAAGACTTTAATAACAAAAAAAGTTCAAAAATAATGTCTGGAACAGTACATAATACAGCCTGATACTATGTATGTACCTGACATGGTATATACCCATTACTTACCAGTAACTTACACTGCGTTGCTAGTCTTGATTCAGTAAAGTAGCTATTTTCTAGTGTTCACATATGCTCCTTTTCCACTAGTGCCACTTGTTGTCGTTACGGTTCCAAGCCATTTCCATTAGGCCAGATTCTTGGAACCAGCCCTTTTTTAGTACCTACTTCATTGTGGTTCCAAGCGGTCCCAGTCGACACCAAAATGCGACATCAGAACTCTGTTTGTCACTGATTGACTGGAGGGTGGAGTCACTGGTTGCGTCTGAGCTGCCTTTACAACAACTCGAGGCGCCATTTTTTCAATTGTAGTGGCGACATTAGTCGTGTTTCCATCCAATTTTAATTTGAATTTTTAGCGAATTTTTAAAATTCCTGAACTTATTCGGCAAATGTGTTTCCATCTCTCATTTTGCGCATTAACTCTTTTTTGAAAAACCCAAAAACCACCTCCACCAACCGCCCAAAACACACTCACTGGAACCGGACTGGAACGTCAATGGAAAAGCACCCGAACTGACCCGTTCCGACACTGACCGTACCAACATGACACTAAGAGGCACTAGTGGGAAAGGCATTAATAAAGGTAATTTGTTCTGATTTCCACCTGTCTGTCACAGGGACACAGCTCACACTGTGAAAGAGAAGTTTGGTAAAAAGCTCTACGACGCTCTGTTGAAGTAAGTCTGTGGACAAAATGTAAGATCTAGGTGTAAATAATCTCTGGTGTTTACTGATGACATCATCTGTTCTCAGAGGGCAGATCCCAGATATGAACGCCATCCTGGACCGAGATGATTTCACCATCATGAAGAGAGCTATCTTTGCTACTCAGGTTGGAGCTTCTGCCTTACTTTGCTTCCAGCACTTTGTAAAGAAATGTTATATTATGGTACTTTCACACAGGCAAGGTTGTCTTTAAACAGTTAACGCACAAGTTTAAAGCAAAAATCTTACAGAATGTATTGAGCATGGATTGTAACTTTGGGTTGATGTAAGATTTGTATTGATGAGAACCCATGATTCATGCAGACTCAGGAGGTAAAGGAAAAAAAAATAAATACTTGTATTAATAATGAAGCAAAAGCCACTGAGGCTGCAAATTTACAATGTGACAAAAACTGGGAGAAAACACGAAGGGACAGGAGCCATGAGGACAGGTAGTGGACATAATCCAGGACTGATGAACGTGGGGAAGAGACTGAACTAAGATGAGAATATTGGAGGCAGCTGAGCTGAGTGGGGAGTGGCGACAGGTGTGAGTGGTAAACTGACTGGGAGAAACACCGAAGAACTGACTGAGGGAGAAAAGTGACAATGGCACAAAAATATTCTCTAAAAGAACAGACAATGATGTAATGACAAACCATGACAGAAGTGACACTACTACAACTCTATGTGCTCTATACATCCTTAGGGTGTTAAAGGGATCCATGATTAGTTGCAATTTTGATAAACATATATTTTAACTGTAAAATAAAGACTGTAAAAATACTGTAGGCTGTTTAGTTTTGTAATTTTTTTAAAATATATTTTAACACGGACGGAGCCATTTTATTTACACACAAAGCATTCTGGGTAAATGTGAGGCTGCTAGCGAGCTATATCCACCCTGAAGGTTAATCTTGGACAATATCTGACGATTGGCTCTTTTAAATGAAACCAGAGAGCGTTGACAGAGAGGAGAAGGTAGAAATGACTCTGCCTGTAACTGAAAATATCAGTAGATGGAGGACAACAGAGCTGCTTCATGGAAGAAGAACCTTAGTTTAGCCTGTTAGCCTTTGCACTAGCACCGACACTATTGCCTTACATGTTTTAGCTCGGCGCTAGCACGACAAACAAGCTAAACTGAGGTCCTCCATCAATATTTTCAGTTACAGGCTGAGTCATTTCTACCTTCTCCTCTCTTTCAACACTCACTGGTTTCATTTAAAAGAGCCAATCGTCAGATATTGTCCAAGATTAACCTTCAGGGTGGATATAGCTCGCTAGCAGCCTCGCACCAAGGACCTACC